ACGTCATATTAGTGTAAAATAAGTTTATCGTGTTTATCAGGTCCCAGGTCCCAAATTCAAATCCTGGCTGAGATAATATTCTTCGCAATAAATTTTTCGCAAGTTTTTTAAGATGCTTAATCGCATCGTTTTGAAGATCGATTTAATTGTGATCTCACAATTCCAGCTTCGGTTTATGATTACGTTACAAGCACGAAATTAATTCGGCGCGCAGTTTAAAATGACTAAATATGGAATTAAGATTTACATAGAAATATTATTAGATGCAAAGATCCAGCCTCTACCGTTTAAAACGCTCTCATTTGAATTTATCATTGTGTTTATCACTGTGGTCTATATCTTAATTATTGTTTATCATGTTTGTTATGTGCATGATATAGTTAGAAATTGATCTTTGTTTAAAAAAATTGGAATAACTGCTAAAATCAGTTAAATTGATTTTCCGACTGAAAAAATTTAAACCTCGCAGTTTAAACGCGCAGTTACTACGCGAACTCTATGACATTAAAGTTTTATACTATTGTGTGCAGATGTAAGATCGCAGGTTAGTAATTATATTTAGAAACAATTTAATACATGTCAACCGGATACATTTAAGGCCGAAAAATAACAAAAAAACCGATTTTTATTTTTGTTCGCCACGTTCCATCAAATAAAAAATCTGAAAAAAAATATCGAATATAATGTGTCATAAGACTTATCTATACTGAATTTTTTTAAAAGTGGCCAATTTTTTAGATCTAGAGAAAATGTGATTTAAAATATTCTGAATTTTTTTAAAAACAGAATTTTCAGAACGATAATAAAATTCGAACTTATATATATGGATAGCCTTTGTAAGCATGAATTTTTTTATAAAGATTAATTCAAGTTTAGCGGAGAAAAAAAATATTTAAAAAATCACATCTTTTGTGATATTTCCTAAATGTGTGGGTTTTTTGAAATAAAACTTGGCACAAAATTTTCTTTTATGTGGGTGGACATTTTACCCACTATGACGATCGATTACGCGCGGGGCCGGAAATCACCTTCTTAACCCGCTAATGCAATAAATATTACCATATGAATATGATATCCGCTCATTTTTCCATCAAGACCTTCGAGAGATACTTCCACGTTAGTGACATCGTATTCGGTCTGTTGCAATAGCTCCAATTTTCCACTCAAGGATATTTGTTCGCCATTACCAAACCAATCTCTGACAACCGCTTTACGCCGATAGACGCCACCAATACTAAAAATATAATTATACTGTTAAAGAAACTAGAAAAGATATAGTTTAATCTAATTTAATTTACTGCATGTTTGTTACATGGAACAGGCCAATCGATCTCCCCTCGCAACTGGGCCATGATCGTCATAAATAACTAAGCTTTTGCCAAATAATGAGTGAGGTCCTGATAAAGATAACATCCCGTCCGTAAAAAGTTTTCGAGTCAATTCTGAGGCGTTGGCCTTTCTACCGACAATTTCGAGTGTTCCATGTCTCGTTAAATCACCCAAGAGACACAACGAGGCTTCTGCGCCGAAACAGGAGCTACTCGGCTTCCAGTCCAACTGAAATGTTACAGTCCCATATGTAAATAAATGGATTATGTAAATAAATGAAATATGTACATAAACGTTAAATATGTAAATAAATATGAATGTATTATTATATATACTAAAAATTTATTTAAAATAATGCGAAATAATTAAATTTATTATTTTGGAGGAAAGTGATTTTACTCAAACAGATTTTTAGAAAATATATACTAATAATGCTGCTAAAAAATTTGAAACATTTTACGACTTTTGAAATATATCATATTTTTTTACAGATATAATAATTTTATTGGAAATACTAATATTTACATATTTATAAAAATGTATAAAAATATACGCTATTCACATAGAACTAAAATAAAATTAGAAATAAAATGCAAATATATTTACACATATATGTATATATAATATTAAAAAATAAAATTTATTAAAGTATCTTTGCAGAAAATAATAAGCAATTTTAGATTTAAGTGGTTACACCAACTTGACCGCCTAAAAATCAATCGGTAACTTTGGGAATTTTTTTTTATGCAAACAATTAAAGTAATAAAAAATTCGTTTTAAGGCTTTAATAATACAAGTCTTTAGAAGTAAAAAATATTTTATTTATTTAT